CTCACTACAAGAAAAACGTTGATTTTCGACGGAAATTTTCGACGAAAATAGGTAAATTTCCGACATTTTATAGATTGGGCTTTATTTCATATCAAGGTTGTTAATGGGATGGTAGAATATGGCATAGGCTCATGATATATACACCTCCCTTTTTTTATAAGTACACCTCCTTTTTTAAAAAAAATTATAAAATATTATCATTTTTTTAAAAAAAATTTAATTTTACATTTTTAACTTTCAATTTGCTACTTTCTTCTTCTTATTCATACACTTTTTTTTTCTCTTTTAATTTTCACATGTTACGAAAATAAGTGGGGTGAAGGAAAAATAAGGAGGTACATATAAAAATTGAAAAAAGGAGGAAAGATGTGTGAGAAAAAAATACTAAATTAAATATTGTGGATATAAAATTAAAAAATTTAAAACAAAAAATTAAGAATATTTTAAAATTTTCATTATTTTTTTAAAAAGAAGTGTACTTATAGAAAAAAGGAGGTATATATATCATGAACCTATGGCATAAGGCTACGGCCTATGGCGCCGCCCTAACGGGCTTTCATTCATAAATTGCTTATGGCAATTATGACGCCATGGCAGCGATATATCGGTTATTTAACCTTGTTTCATAGCATAATTAAGGGAACCTAGCTCAAGGGAACCTAGCTCATTTAATTGAACGATGTTTATAAACTCCTTTGAATTTGATTCCTATGAATATAAAAAAAAAAAGCATAGTAAAGACCAAGAATCAAGACTTTCATATAAAATTAATCTGCAAATCAAGGTGTTACTTTTATAGATTGGGCTTTATTTCATATCAAGGTTGTTAATGGGATGGTAGAATATGGCATAGGCTCATGATATATACACCTCCCTTTTTTTATAAGTACACCTCCTTTTTTAAAAAAAATTATAAAAGATCTTTTTAGATCGAAGAAGTAATTCTAAATTATAGAGAAATGAAAAACATTTTTTTTAGAAATAAAAACCAAAACTTACTCATGAACATTAAAAAAATATATTTAAACTTTATAAAATAATGATGGAATCAAAATATTTGAGACATAGTATTCGAATTACAAAAGGTATTTAATTAAACTGTACTAACAATGTAAAAATAGATTGTCATATAATTATATATTGTAATGTGTGATAATTTTACTAATCTTTATAATAATTATTTTGCAAAACTTTTTCTCATCCTCTGCTCGTATGGAGAAAATTATTTTAATCTTTTTCCTATAAATACTTCTACAAAAGTTTATCTAAATATACCATTTTTATTTTCCTATAAATACTTCTACAAAAATTTATCTAAACATACCATTAGTTTAGAAGTGCCTCTTCGTACAATATAAAAATTATATATGTGGATAATTAGCTTTTCTTTGTTGATTTCAAGCTATATTTCATTTCTCTTTATTAATTAACCTTCAAATTCTTGTTTTATAAAATCAGTAATAAATGTTAGGTAGAAATAGGTGTTACTTTTATAGATTGGGCTTTATTTCATATCAAGGTTGTTAATGGGATGGTAGAATATGGCATAGGCTCATGATATATACACCTCCCTTTTTTTATAAGTACACCTCCTTTTTTAAAAAAAATTATAAAATATTATCATTTTTTTAAAAAAAATTTAATTTTACATAAAAAAAGAAATTAAAAATAATAATTAAAAATAAGATTTCTGACAGAAAATTCCGTCGGAAATTTCTGACAGAATGTTCTGTCGGAAATTTTCCGGCAGAAATTTCCGACGGATTTATTTTTCCGTCAGAAATTTCCGACGAAATTTTTCATCGGAAAGTTTCTGTCGGAAATTTCTGACGGATTTATATTTCTGTCAGAAATTTCCGACAGAAAATTTCTGACGAAAATATAAATCCGTCAGAAATTTACATTTTTCTTGTAGTGGCTTGGTACGTGGATAAATGGTGGGTGACCCTTTTTAATGATCTAGGATAGGCGGGACTTGGGTTTTTTCCCAATACACCCCTCATGCCTATGGCACATGCATTAATGGTGGGTGGCCCATTTAAAGTGGATATAAATAGCTCTGATATCATCTTAGAATAGTGGATTAAGCCTAACTCAACCCTACAAAACCAGCTTTAAAGGTAGGGGTGAGCATTAAACCGACACCCGAACCGAACCCGAAAAACCCGAAAAAAAATATTGTTTTTGGGTGGGTTCGGGCGGGTCTTATGGGTAAATCGGGTTAAAATTTTGATTTTATACGGGTTATATTGGGCGGGTTCGGTTTTGAATTTTTAAACCCGCTAAAAACCGAACCCAACCGAAAATGAGATAAGTTTAAATTTTTATTACTTTTGTATAACTAAACAACAATGGTCCAAATTTAAAAGTCTTTATTTCAAGTATAATATAGCCATCAATTTGTAACTTATTTTTTTCCTTTTTCTCATAACTTAGATATTTATTTTGTCTTCTCCTTCCTCATTCAACTTCTCAACACACTAGTCCATTTTTAGAGTTATCTTTTTGCTTCTTTCTTTGTCTTTCTTTTCCATCTTCTTATCTCCATTTTGAGTACATTTTGTGTGACTGTGATTTCTTATGGTTTTGTAATCTAACTTTATATTTCTTTTCCATGTAACAACTATGAATTTTGTTATCTTTTATTTTTGCTTCCTTAGTTTGTAAATGTTTCAACTACGAATCTATTTACACCATCTATTGTCACCTTCATTCTATTTTTATACACTATTTTAAAAATATTTTTTATCGTTTTAAGTTTCATCTTCGTTAAGATAAATTGGTCTACAAAAAAATTCAAACCCGATTATACCCACCCGCTTAAATCCGAATCCGTTTCAACCCGAACCGCCTCAAATCGAAAGCTCAGTCGGTCGGATATGGGTCACATTTTTTCAAAGTCGGTTTACAACGGGTTGGACATTTTTCACCCGAACCCGACCAAACCCACCCGTTGCTCACCCCTATTGTAAGGTGAGGGTTGCTTTCCACTTATATACTATTCAATTGCCTAATCTCTAGTCGATGTGGGACTTAGATTTTTCCCAATAATTAATACTTTTACAATTACAACGTTACGAACCTGTCTGTAGACAAATCTAAAAGTATTTTTTGAGAATTTTTTTTATTGGAAATAACTCTTTATTTTTAATATAAAAAAAACTCTTAAAAATACTTTTAACTTATATTTAAATAGACTAAATGTGTTTTTGATTGATTTGGATATATGAGAAAGATTAACCAAATCTCCTTAACATGTATATTGGACAAGAGTGTTTATAGTACAAGTACTTAAAATCAAAATTCACATTTAATTATTACCAATAAACCTCCAATTTTAAAATAACATTGTGCGACTACAATATATATAAATATATAGCAGTCATGTAAAATATAATGACTCCAATTATCTTTATTGATAGTAAATAATTTTATGAATATTTGTTTATTCTACTAATATATTCAATCCAACTAAAAAACTAACATCCTTCATAGGTATGGACTTGAGTAGACTATTATTTATTTTTTTCTATACATATAAATGTTTAAGTGAGTTGAATCTCAAAGCTCATGAAGGTCTAGACAAATTTCAAAACTTTATAAAAAAGCTTACAAAAGTATTTACATATTATCTATCAATAAAGTTCTCACATCAATAACGGGAATCAAATATTACCTTTTGAGATATGAGTTAATTTCTTATCAATTAGACCAATTGATCATTTACTAACATTCACATGTACATATAAAGCAAGCATCATGCAAAATGATGAGAATATGTCCTAATAAACTTATCTCTTTTCCATTCCCTTAGAACTCTAGAGGTGCCTGCACATGAAAATATAAAAGTTAACCATTGGAAAGAATAAAAGGAAATCATATATGTTTTCCCCAAAGTTATCATTCCTAATCGGAAAATATATAGCATTGGAAGAGATAAGAATGTTATCCAAGCCTTTAAAGGTATAGTTATTTTCAGTTTGTCTAAAATGTTGCTACAATATAGCATTTGGGTGGTAAACGTTAGGATAGTAGCAATTAGTAGCAATATATTGAGTTGAGTGGGAAGATATTCTTTGTGAAATAGATTGGTAGGCATGTTCACTTGTGCGCACCCACTTGTGAGTGTTTTAGGTATATATTTGTATGTGCTCTCTTTCTTCTATTAAAGTGGCAGACAAGGTTCATGCCTTTCTTATATTCTCTACTTTTAAAAACTATCTCAATCACTGGCGGAATTAAACGTATATATCATCTGCTGCACCATACCAATTCTATGATTCTCTCTTCTTTAATTTCTCTCCTCTTTTTTCGACAAAAGGTTTCTTCCACTAAGTGTGAACTTCTTAGAAGCCAATATGCAAGTTATTATAAATCCAAAAAGTTGAAGGCAAGTTAGAGAACTTTCTAATCCAAACCATCACCGATATCAGTTATAAGGAGCGTATTTGAATCTACATGTATATATTTATTTTAAAATTAACAAAATTCTAATTAAAAGCTTCTTTTTAAAAAGAATATTTTCTGGTAAACTCAAGTATCTCCAAGTCAAAAAGCCGGGACTATTTCTTCATTTCATGATTTGATTAATTTCTTTCATCAAATACTCTGATAGGCATGAACTAATATTGATGATCTAATCTTTAACTATATGCTTAAAATCTATCATTGATACCATATCATATTAGATTATTTTTTTAATATATATATATATAGCATACGTATTTAGTTGCTTTCAATTTAAAGAGGACATTACTAACATGTAGTTGGTTAAAACAAAATTGAAACATTTTAGAGTCGATTATTATAGACGAGAAAAACGTGATTGAGAGAACATTTTCTATATCATATTAAGAGACGTGTTCATATTTAATGTGTTAATGTTAAATAAGATTATTTTAAAATAATAATAATAATAATACATGAAAGAAACTATAAATACTTTATACCAAATAAAAAAATTAAAAGGGTGGTGCTGACCCCAAATTTCGTGAGTGAATATGAGTGATGGTGACTTTCTCGTATGACGACTTATTTCCATATAATGTTCCATCTAATAATTAGTTTAGTGCTTTACAATTTCTTTGCGCTACCCATTTTATTATTTATAAATTTAATACTTATATTTCAATATTATAATTTTAAAACTTGTTCACTTTTATTTTTAGATTAATTTTACTATGCTTGTAGATGACGAAGTGTTTTAAGAGACCAAGTTGTAGATCGAGAATTAATACTAAAAGTTAATCATCTATATATTATTAGTGTAAAGTTTTTTTTATACGGGTAACTAATTATATTCTTTAATTGTGTCATGTCACTGTAAATACAATTATTTTTAACAGTGACATGGTACAATTAAAGGATATAATTGATTGTCAGTGTAAAAAAACTTTACAGTGGTAATGTATAGGTAATTAACTCTAATACTAAAGAGCCGAAATTTACTGGGATACACCGGAGTCTATAGAGGAAACCAAATGTCCTAATTGTTGTGGTTACAAAAATAAATAAAATAAATTTTGCTATACTTAAAAGAAAATTTTGTTGTTTATAATGATCATATCTAATTCAAGTAGAAGGAGGCAATTTTTTTTTTTACATATCAACCAAATAGAAATAATTTTAAATGTAACTTTTAAAATGTTTTAATTATATGACAATGCTTAATTGGATGATAGTGTATTCTGATTAAAATCTTTTCTTTCATGAAAAATGACATTTGAGTCACTTTCTCAAAATAAATAAATTAAAAGTATATTCTTAAATGAAAAACATATTTTTATTCCTAATAAAATGAGTGAGCTTTAGTTTTGATTTGTGTAAAAATATGTCTTTCATTTTTCTAAATTTTGGAATCACTAGTGGTAATTCAATTAAAATAAGTAAATTTAATTTTTATCTTATAAAATATTTTTTTTTAAACTTCATCTTTCTAAAATCTAAAATCAACAATTTTAGTTTATAACATTCATTTTAAGGTAGATAAATAATTCGTGATTTTAAGGATTTAAAAAAAATAGATATATCACATGCTAATTTAGCATCACAGACAATCATAAGTAACATTTGAAATTATTGGTCAATCTTATGATAAACACATCGCTAATTTACTAAAATCACATTTGAAATTATTGGTCAATCTTATGATAAACACATCGCTAATTTACTAAAATCACATAAATAGGGAATAAAAATAGTAATTCCAAATAGTTAGGTGTCACATGCTAGCATCATCACAAAGGATCTATAAATTTGTTTAGAAGTGTTACACGTTAACATGATGTTACAAACAACTATGAATGTCACTTGAGATAATTACTTAACTTTATGATAAACAATTAAGTAATAAATAATAAAAATTACCTAATTGTAGAGACTGAAAACAAAAATTCCAATTTTTTTTTAGATCGAAGAAGTAATTCTAAATTATAGAGAAATGAAAAACATTTTTTTTAGAAATAAAAACCAAAACTTACTCATGAACATTAAAAAAATATATTTAAACTTTATAAAATAATGATGGAATCAAAATATTTGAGACATAGTATTCGAATTACAAAAGGTATTTAATTAAACTGTACTAACAATGTAAAAATAGATTGTCATATAATTATATATTGTAATGTGTGATAATTTTACTAATCTTTATAATAATTATTTTGCAAAACTTTTTCTCATCCTCTGCTCGTATGGAGAAAATTATTTTAATCTTTTTCCTATAAATACTTCTACAAAAGTTTATCTAAATATACCATTTTTATTTTCCTATAAATACTTCTACAAAAATTTATCTAAACATACCATTAGTTTAGAAGTGCCTCTTCGTACAATATAAAAATTATATATGTGGATAATTAGCTTTTCTTTGTTGATTTCAAGCTATATTTCATTTCTCTTTATTAATTAACCTTCAAATTCTTGTTTTATAAAATCAGTAATAAATGTTAGGTAGAAATAGGTGTTACTTTTATAGATTGGGCTTTATTTCATATCAAGGTTGTTAATGGGATGGTAGAATATGGCATAGGCTCATGATATATACACCTCCCTTTTTTTATAAGTACACCTCCTTTTTTAAAAAAAATTATAAAATATTATCATTTTTTTAAAAAAAATTTAATTTTACATTTTTAACTTTCAATTTGCTACTTTCTTCTTCTTATTCATACACTTTTTTTTTCTCTTTTAATTTTCACATGTTACGAAAATAAGTGGGGTGAAGGAAAAATAAGGAGGTACATATAAAAATTGAAAAAAGGAGGAAAGATGTGTGAGAAAAAAATACTAAATTAAATATTGTGGATATAAAATTAAAAAATTTAAAACAAAAAATTAAGAATATTTTAAAATTTTCATTATTTTTTTAAAAAGAAGTGTACTTATAGAAAAAAGGAGGTATATATATCATGAACCTATGGCATAAGGCTACGGCCTATGGCGCCGCCCTAACGGGCTTTCATTCATAAATTGCTTATGGCAATTATGACGCCATGGCAGCGATATATCGGTTATTTAACCTTGTTTCATAGCATAATTAAGGGAACCTAGCTCAAGGGAACCTAGCTCATTTAATTGAACGATGTTTATAAACTCCTTTGAATTTGATTCCTATGAATATAAAAAAAAAAAGCATAGTAAAGACCAAGAATCAAGACTTTCATATAAAATTAATCTGCAAATCAGTGTCAAGGTTAAAAATTAAATAATTAATTTAACCTTTCAAAAATTTAATGTATTAATTTTATTTTTTAATTGTATCTTTGTTTATCAATGTATCATATCAATGTTTAATACTACGAAAATACTAATTATTATATTTTACTAAAATCTTTTTGTTAATATAATTCAGTTTAGATATACTAGTTTATCTTCTCCTAAGTCATCCTTAGTCAGTTTTATTTAAATCCCTAAACTTTAGGGATTGATTATATTTTATGCCTATTTATTTTATTGTACTCATTCAGATTCATAATAAGAAATTATTCATATTCAAGTTGGTATCAGAGCACTCTGGTCCAGGAACCCTAATCCAGCAGCCAACATCTAGGGTTTCTAGGGTTTTTGAGTTTTGTCCGCGGTTGCCGAAGTTGACATCGCCTGCACACTCAGAGGTCGCCGATCGGCCTCCCCGTCGCGTGCCGCCGTCTCACGCGCGGTTATTGTTGAAGAAGCTCGCCGGCGCGTGGACTTCACGCGCCGCCCTCCCAGCCTCCGTTTGCGACACGGGTCACTCCGTTGGACTCGCCGGCCCTCCCTCTTCCCGTTTTGACCCTTTTCAGGTTGTGGGTCACATTCTAGGTGGTCTGTTGGTGGTCGTTTGGTTGCGGCCTCGGAGTTTCATGGTCGTTTGGTTGCTGCCTCGAAGTTCCGTGGTTGTTTGGTTGCTGTCTCGGAGTTCCGTGGCTGTTTGGTTGTTGTCTCGGGGTTCCGTGGTGGTTTGGTTGCTACCTCGGAGTTTTGTGGTTGATTGGGTGCTACCTCGGAGTTTCGTGACTGATTGTTTGCTGTTTTTCTTCTTTTTCTCTTCATGGCAGAGATTCCTAAGGAGAATCCAAAAATTGAATCTTCCAAAAGGGGGCTGGTCTCCTTTGCCTTTTCTGGATCACCTACTATTACATCTGAAAAGCTTAATGGTAAAAATTATTTGGATTGGTCCACTGCGGTTGAAATGTGGTTTTTAGGTCAGGGTCTCTATGATCATCTTACTAAAAGGGCATCCGAAATTGATAAAGAGGTGAGAGATGAATGGCAACGAGCAGATTATCAACTTGTATCTCTATTGTGGCAGTCCATTGAGCCTAAATTAATGGTGCATTTTCGTCCGTACAAGACATGCTATGATATTTGGAAGAAGGCTCGAAATGTCTATGCCAATGATATCCAAAGAATATATGAGTCTGTTCATAGTCTGGCAACTCTTCGTATGGTTGATAATGATTTGCCAACGTATTTGAATCGTGCTCAATCCACTATTGATGAGCTCAAGCTAATGTTGGTTAGTGATGATCCTCAACAAATATTAAACAAACTTGATAATATGTTTATGGTGTTTATCCTTCAAGGACTCCACAAAGATTACGGATCTGTTCGAGATCAAATCTTGACAAATCCTGTCATTCCTACAGTAGAAGAACTCATAGATCGACTGATTCGGGTCCCTTCACCAGAGGCAGATCCTCACACAGAATCTGAGTCCTCTGCTTTTATCTCTAGTACAGCTGACCGTGGAAGTCGAGGGCGTGGTCGAGGTCGTGGTCGTGGTAAAGGGGGTAGAGGAAACCTCCATTGTACCTACTGTCAGAGAGATGGACATACACGAGACAGGTGTTATTCCTTGCATGGCTTTCCGAGCAAGACAGCTAATGTGGTTCAATCTCCAACTTCAGCTCCAGAGCTCAAGATTGAACCGGAGGACAATCATCCAATCACATTATCTACCGATGATTACCAAGAGTATCTTCAATTGAAGGCAACTAAACAGGCCTCCTCTTCCATCACTGTTGCTCATACTGGTAATTCTACAGTTTGTCTCTCTCATTCTACTTCTATTGGACCTTGGGTTTTGGACTCCGGTGCTTCTGATCACCTAACTGGTAATGTCTCCCTTTTCCCTAACCTATCATCACCTAGAACTCCACACCATATCACTCTTGCAGATGGGTCAAAAGTTCAAGCCACTGGTATTGGTCAAATATCACCTCTCCCATCACTACCATTAAAATCTGTTTTACTAGTTCCTGGATGTCCCTTTAATTTGATTTCTATAAGTAAGTTGACTCGGTCACTAAACTGTGTCATAACCTTCACTTCTGATTCTTTCTTGATACAGGA